TATTAAATATATATATAGAAATAAATATATAGATATATATAAAGGAAATAATTGGTTAAAATTATGAAAAAAAAATTAGGGAAAAAATGATTCGTTTAATCCAATACTCACCTACTGTAATTAAATTATTCGTCCACATTATTTCGTTGATATTATTGGTTTGTCTTTCTCGTTATACTCGATATAATATAGTCATGCCGAATATCAATGATTTCTTTCTCGTTTCACTGACGACAGTTGTACGATGTACGATGATTGGTGTGTGTGTATCAATTAGATTACACGTAACTAAAAATAATGAAACTTTTGTTATTAAAATTTTCTTGCTTTTTTTGCTCTCTCTTTTTTTTCTTATACAAAAAGATTGAACAAAAACACACACACACAGACACAACACAAACAATGTTTCTTCGTTAATCATGAAAATTTATATTGAAATATTTTTCAGCCAAAATATTAATGATATTACGTCGAGTAATATTTTGTTAGAAAATTGCAAGGATATATTTGATCTTCTTTGACTTAACCTTGACGCAACCCTGACGCAACCCTGACCACAATCAATTTATCTAATATAATACTTTACTTACGTGAAATTCAACTTCTTAGTAGTCAAAGTTACAAAGTGACAAATATAAAAGTGACAGATTATAAAATATAAAACAAGAAAAAAAAAATAGAAGAAAATATTTGCCAATGAAAATAATGATGACGATGAAGATGATGATGATGATGATGATAATGATAATAATAATACGTGACAATGATAATGATAACATAATAACACGTGATATTAATATGATCATTTAATCGTGATGATAATATTTAATTAAATTCTTTTTTTCTCTCTAACGTCATACTGATTAAAATAATCATGGATATTGTTTGATTCAATTGAATATTTTATAAATCATCAACATTAGAAATTCACATTTTAAAATTACGTAGAAATTATTTGTCATGTAATAATATAGTGTAATATTGCGTAATATCTTTGTTAATAAAAAAATTATTAACATAGCATAAACAAAAATGAAATTTGTCTGAAAATAATCAAACTTAAATCTTCAATATCATTCAAATGGTGAGGTTTACGGACAAAATATAAGATACCTTTTTTGTAGAGCATTAAATTTCCTACAAAATTCGTCTAGAACATTTTTCTGTACAATCAATAAATAATGAGATATGAATTTTAATCTATTAGACTGAAAAAAAAAATAAAAAAACTGCGATGCGGAGGATATTCCTATTAAAATTAAGAGCTCATATTTGGTGAAAATAGTTTTAAGGTATCTAGCAACCCATTTTTCCGTGGCACTTGAAAAAAAAAAAAAATAAGTCATTTTTTTGACCCACCCTAATATATATTATACTTTTTGTTTTTATACTAACTAAAATGAAAAATAAATTGGCATGCATTGGGAATGGTTACGTCATTGAGAACATTTTGGCAACGATAACCAAATGCTAAGATCGAACGAAAAGCATTGAAACGAATTAATAATATTCACCTTTTCAATGTTTCTTTAAATTCAACCAGTTAAATTTACTTCTAATGTCAAATAATTTTTAATCATTTTTATTTTTATTTTTTAGAAACTTTAAGTTTGATCTTGAACTAGTTAACAGTATACTACAGTGACACATTTTGAAATTAAATATATATATGTATATATTATTTTTAGTTCTGATCTTGCATTGAAACACAGTGATTTTGCAATGTAATTAAATGTCAGAGAATTTTGTATTTATGAATTGCAAAAAAAAAAAGAAGAAAAAATTAAATTGTAAGACAAAATATGAATTGATCATTGATTACAAATTAAATTCTAATTGACATATTGAATCTCCCCCCCCCCCAAAAAAAAAATAAATAAATAAATAAAATACAACAACCTAAATGTATTTATATTAAAAAAAAAAAAAATTATTACTTAGGTTTCAATCTGTAGGATTATTGTGTTCTTATAAATGAAAATTAACACCAAATATAATTTTAAAACAAAAAAACTTGTATATTTAAGTGCACAAGGAATGGCACGTCTTTACCAAAGGGCTGTTTCGAATAAATTGAAAAAGGAACAAAGGTGCAACACGCTCCTTCAAAAATTAATCCTCTTTAATGTAACAAAACTTTTGAATGAAAACAAACATGATTCAAGCTTGATAACAAACTACTATTACTATTACACAGACGGCTATTCCTTGTACAGTTAGGAAAATACATATGGTCTAGCATTCACTACAAGGATAAGGAAAACCCAACCAAAACCTTATCAGACCATTCCAAAATTATAAACAATGCATAATAATTATTGTTATTATTGGTACTTACGTATTAACGCCACCGCAGTAAAATTCCGCTAATGTACCAATCAACACCTTAAATTGTTGCGAACAAATCATAGAATAAAAAACTTTATTTAAAATCGCAACACTTTGAAAATTTCAAAACATTTTATTTATAAAAAGTAGTAAGTAATCGGATTTCGTTGGAAAATGGGCCGATATAAAATTTAACATAGATTTAAAACAGTCTAGATTTTCTTTCACTTAATGCTGTCACCATAACCCTGACGAAACCCTGATCCAAACCTGACGGTTGCTGTGTACAAACAACAAAGTTGTTGTGTGCGAACAACAAGATTGCTCTTTATTGACGCATCAGCGGAATTTTTACTGCGATTGCGTTAATACGTAAGTACCTTATTATTTAATTCATAAATTGTTTCTCCGGGTTGTTATTATTCAAGACCCATCTCTGTTGGGGACGGGTCTTGAATAATACGTCAGCCGATCTCCACAGCATGCAAGTTCATACGTGTTACACTAAACTATGCTTTTCTAGAAAAGAAAGAAGAGAACCAAAGAGATTGATTTTCGTTCTTAAATCTGAGTTATACATTCCAATACAATCCAAATTAAAAAAAAAAAAAAAATAAATAAATAAATACAGTAAATACAATAGCTCAAATGTATTTATGTTAAACAAAAATTTATTATAGTAGGGTATCAATCCAAATTAAAAGAAAAAAATAAATAAATAAATAAATAAAAAATACAATAATTCAAATGTATTTATGTTAAAAAAATAATTATTATAGTTAGGTTCCAATCTGAATTAAAAAAAAAAATAATAAATAAATAAATACAGTAAATACAATAGCTCAAATGTATTTATGTTAAACAAAAATWTATTATAGTTGGGTTCCAATCCAAATTAAAAGAAACAAATAAATAAATAAAAAATACAATAATTCAAATGTATTTATGTTAAAAAAATAATTATTATAGTTGGGTTCCAATCTGAATTAAAAAAAAAAAAAAAAAAAAAAACATTCTTGACTTATACCAATATTTAAGATATCTTTATAGCATAATTACACACACGTTTTTAACATCACAATAATAATAAATGAATTATTATTAAAGAGATAAGATAAATGAAACAAATTATTATTTAAAAAAAAAAAAAAAAGACAAAAATGAAAAAAGTTACCTCTGGAAATAGCAACCAAAGTGGTGTTGTGACTGCTTGAAGTATTGTAAGAAAATCAATGAATTCTTCTTCTTTTTCTTCTTCTTCTTCTTTTTCTTCTTATTTTGTTTTAATCGTCTTTTGATAATAATAATAATGAAGAAAATAGAAGAATTTTTTAAACGAATAATCTGATCGTTTGTGCCCTACTCCTTCTTCCTCCTCTGCTACAAAGAGCAAATTTCTCGATGCATCACCTTATATGCAGCCTGTTGCAAACCACTCGTGTTTTCATCCTTCTTGCAAGAAATTCGTACATCGAACAACCAAAAACCAACAAAACAATTTGGTCCTTTGTTTTTTTTTTATTTTTTTTTTTTTAATTTTTTTTTAAATATTTTTTTTTTTTTTTGCTTTTAATCAAAATCGATCCCCAATCCTGTGAGAACAAACGTGTCAAAAATATGGACAATGATATTATATTGATATGGGGTAAATTTAAAATTCAAGTATATTTTTTTTCTTGTTTTTTGTTTGTTTGTTTTTTTTATAAAAATAAAAAAAAACTTAAAAATCGAAATTACCTACAAAATTTTAAATCAAATTTTTACGATTTTTTTTTTTTTTTTTTTTTAGTTAGTCACGAGATACAAAAAAAAAACTTTAGAGAAAGAAATTCGATCGATTTAAAATATTTCATATAATAAATATGTAAAAAATATAAATATATTTTCATATAATAAATATGTAAATATATTTTCATGTAATAAATATGTAAATATAATATTACATCCCAAAAAAAATTTCAGAATGCATAATCTTCACCAAGATTACGTCAAATAAATGAAACAACATTTGTTATATTGAAAAAAAATAGAAAAAAGGAAAAAAAAAGAAAATTATAGAAAAATAAAATCAAAATAACGATTATAATTATAATATTATAATTATTAACATTATATTATTTTGATATTATTAAAAAATTAATTATATAAAAATTAATTATATAAAAATTAATTTATATAAATATAAATTTAATTTTTATTATTAATATTATAATATTTTATAATTGTAATATTATAATTTTCAATATCCCCATAATATTAAACAATAAATACAATAAAACTATAATAACATGTTCTATCTATTGATATTATCAAAAATCATGTATAAAAATAAGATAAAATAAAATAAAATAAAATAAAAATTATTAAATGAAAAAAAAAGAAAGAAAAAGAAAAGAAAAGAAAAATCTAAAAAAACAATGAACTATAATCTAAATTTATAATTAATGTCATTATCGATACTATTACCGTGACAATGGTCTAGTCGATCAGAAAATAGGGCCACAAACACACACATACCTTTTACCACTTATTCCATAGAAAAAACAATTACACCTTCTTCTTCTTCTTCTGATAATAATTAAGTTCGTTTGATAACATAACTCAACTCTTGAAAATATGTACTTTTCTATTCATTATAATATTGTTATTATTATTATTATTATTATTATTATTATTATTATAAACAAAGGATGATTAACGAAATATGTAAATGAAATTTAACAAGTGATCATCAAAAAAGACTTCCAGTTAGATGAACAATAATTTTGTTGAAAAGATGAATAATTTTCATTGAAAAATAACCAATATTCTTTGAACTGAGATACAAATGAATATGATCTATAAAGCAAATAATTGAAATTGTATAAAATAGAGAAATTAGAAACAAATATAATTAAAAGACATAGAAATATTATTTTCAATATTTCTAAACACTAATTGTTAAATTTCATAGAGACTACTGTTATACTTCAGAGGTTGCTTTCATACTAACTGCAGATCCAGGTCGATCAATAGGGTCGGACTACCCCACCTCATGTTGCGGCAAGCACACGCAACCAAAGACCACCAAAAGCTCTACCAACCAATCATCTGCTTTATCCGAATGATAATCATTGCGCTTGCGTTTCAATTATTTTCAAGAAATGTTTTTAAACATTTACAAATAATCATATACTTATTCAAAAATTTATTCAACATTTTGGTTTTTTTCTTTTTTTTTTTTTAACAGAATTTTTTTACACGAATTTAGAAAAAAAATAAAATTAATATATATATATACACGAGTTATTTTTTTTTTTTAATACTTTTTTTATTATTATTATTATTATTATTATTATTATTATTATTATTATTACTTTATTTTATTATTTTTTTAAATATATATACGCAAGAGTTTTTTTTTAAATTATTATTATATTTTTAAAATTATAATAAATTTATTTATTATTATGATATTTATAATTATATTATAATTACATTATTTATTATATTATTTATTATATTAAATTAATTATTTATTATTACAATATTATTCTAAATATATATATAGGATACACAAG